TATATATATATATATATATATATATATATATATATATAAAACATAAGAATATACGTTGATGTTTATATCAGAATCCCTGGAGTTATGCAAACAGGGCTTGTGTTCCTGTTTACAGATTTCAAAGTTTCTCTATTTTTATTTTATTTTATTTATTTATTTATGTACATATTTATTAATTTGGTAAATGTGCATGTTTGACTTTATAAATGCATTGTGGGCTTGACAGTGATGTCATTGGTCACTGTTGCAGTATCTTCTCAAGGAAACAGCAGGGTGTAGTAGAATAAGAATCTACCCCTTCTCCTCATTAGATAACAGGTTGTTCCATAGAAACATCAATACTGTCAATTTATCTAATAAAATTGGTGTTTTTTCTGTTTGTTTGTTTTGTTTTGCTTTTGGTAAATGAAATTGCTCTAAAGAACAATATAACTGATCCAAGGACTCCTCTGCCTTAAAACAGAATATGTTGCCCTCTTGTGGTACAATATTGTGTACCCCTGATATTACCGCCGTTTGTTTTTGTTTTGTTTTTTAAGTAATTGTTCGTGCTGCCTTAAAGTTTTAAGTTTAGTCAGCTCTAAATACAAGGTGTACTACGTGACAACTTGGATAGGCCTATTTGAGTTGACTAAACTTAAAACCACGAACACTTTAAGTTGAGATTTCTTTTAAGTTGCAACAGTTTGCCCCGTTTTTACAATGAATAGGGTTTTTTTTTCTGTACCTGCTATGATTTACAAACGAAGTTTTAATTAATCAAGCTCATTAATTGGCAACTACATGTCAACTAACTCTCTTTGGAGTATTAGCTAAACTATTAGGTTAAGGGGATAAGTTGACCTGTAGGCCTACTTGCAAAGTTACATATAGTTAGAATGTCTGTTGGCGGAGCATCAAAATAAAGTTTTAGAAGATATTAAGCAGCCAGTCATCTATATTCTAATGACTGGGATGTACTTGCAAAGTTATTTATAGTTACAGCTGACTTCACAAAGCAAAATGTTTTCATCAGCATTAATAGACAGACACTTTATATATATATATATACACGGATATAACGTTTTTTAATAGTATTTTTTGTATTTTTTCTTGTTTTTTATTTATTTTTTATTTTTGAGTTTACAACAACTGCTCTTGAAATTAGTTTTACTACAATACCGCTTTGCTGTATCACCATATTGTAGCAGCAGAGGGCAACACCGCATTATGTAGTTTTCGCGGTGACTCGGTCGCCCCCTCTCGATCTAAATGCGTGTCTATACGTATCACGTGAACACAGTTTTTACATACAAGATAATATATGGTAAATGGAACAATATAGTCTGGCTATTAAGCTATTATTAAACTTAAGTTATTAAAGAAAACGTTTTTGCCTGCTATAGAATCTAAAAGGCACCCAGACCAAGAGTGTTTTTGGTGCATTCTTAATTAATATTTCTCTGTCAAAGCACAAAATGTTTTGAAATGTCTGCGGTTTAGCACAGCTGATTCAGTGTAATCTTTACATATAGGCTATGGGGGTTACACTTACATTGTTTTTATTATGATTTATAAATAAATGTGTAAGGATATATTTTATTAAAATAAAATACTCTACCTATAATATAAATGTTTCGTTGGTTGTTGTCAAGATGATGCAATAAATTAGGAACTTGAAAATAGGCAACACTGGCTGTAAAAAACATTACATAACACGCTGGTCTATAAAAGCAACTTGCAATATTTTTTAAATATGCTATATGGTCAGTCATGTTTAGATATGTTTGTGATTGCGTTGATATGGGGATTTTGTGTAGCCTGTATTGTTTTCAGGGGGAATTTTTAGAATGCCAGCTGACCTTCAAAGGCCACATTGCAAAGACAGCTCAATGCAGGGTTGCACTCCACAATATCAGGTAGATCAGGCCCTTCTTAACGGAGCATGCTGTGCAACTTCTTGTCCAGGTGCTTTTCATTTCTAGGCTGGATTACTGCAATGCTCTTCTAGATGGACTTCAATCATGTGCAATCAAACCTCTACAAATGATTCACAACGCAGCAGCACAACTGGTCTTCAGTGACCCCCGAAACAGAGCCCATGTCTCACCTCTCTTTATCTCTCTGCACTGCCTATGGGTGGCAGCTCATATCAAGTTCAACTTCTAGTTTCAAGTTCTGAAATTGTTGCAATATATTGTGAAACACTTCACTGTCAAATCCACATGATACAGACAGCTCAATGGCATTGACATTGTCAGTCTGAATTAGTTTTCTTCTATCCTACTGTTACACTCATCTTCATGGGTAATTTGTGTCTAATGCCTCTTTTTCTCAAAATGTGATCTCATTTTCGTCATAATATGTCTTTCAAAACACTAATTTGTGGCAAATGACAATAATTGTATAGCTTAGGGAATACAGAGAGCGGTTATTAGTGTAGGACTCATGTGGATGTACAACACTTCAAGAGCTGTTTGTTGTGCACTTAAACTAGCAGTCATGCTCTAAACTTTAATGAGAAGATAAGGGATTTATTTTGATATTCTATAACTGCTTTTCACTCTCAGACACAAAGAAACAACATTTTCTTTAACTGTTTCTCATTTTCTTATTTCAAAAAAACTGCACGGTGTTCTTAAAAAACGTCAATGTGAAGAAATGTTTAATCTCCAAAGAACCATGTAGGTCAACTCAAGTGCAACAGTGCAGTTTTGATTATTTTTAGACATTTCAAAATATTTTATTTTTATATCTCTGTATTTCCTGACAGCACTCTCAGAGGAAACAAAGGTTGCCTCAGTGTCACACCTTAGTCATTTATTTATTTGTTTGTTTGTTTTAAATAAAGTCTTGTATGTATCCAATTAATAATTAAAGTTTTAAGTAATTGCTGCATATTGTAGGCAGCAGATTGTCAGGCACTCTACTGTATAAACACATGTGCCAAGGTGTTTATCAGTGGCAGACAGAAAAATAGTCAGATGTAAGGATACATTTCACAAACCCCATGATTATATGTACTTAACTTTTAAATATAACGCATTCCCATCCAGTATGGGAAAGTTCTCTTCTCCGCGCTCTTTTATTGTTGAACTTCAAAGGCCATGGTAAGAAGTTCTGGGCATTGGTATAATGAAGAAAATATGCTATTTTGCTTTTTTCTTTAATGGTCTTTTTTTGGTCCTCTCTGTCTTTAGAACTGCATGCTTTATTTACTTTTTAAAATGTAAGACTTCAGGGGAAAGACGCACAGACACACCTACATTTCTCACTTGTTAAAAGCAGAAAGAGAAACGTCAATCATGATGACTGCTGAGCAACAAGAGGAAGTTATTTCATTATCACTTCATTGTGCAAACCACTGAAAATAAAACTTTTGATAAACCAAAAAATTCATTTATTGTCTGAACACTCAAAAAAGCATCCAAAATCCAATGTTCATTTTCTCAGACAAAAGGTTTTTAAAGGCTGAATTTAATGTGGAATAAGTTGAGGTTACAATAATAAGATACATTCAAATTGCAGACCATTTAGTAGAGCAACTTTTAAGCAGAAAGAATATAGGGAGACCGGGGATGATTGTAACACTTATTATTTGAGCATCAGTAACTCAGTGGGCTGTTTGTGCTAGATGTCTCAAATTTTTATACATGGTAGCCACATTTGTCTGCTACATTTAGAACTCACTTGGATGTGTACTTCATAATCACAGATTATGTCAAATACAAAGAGTTAGATGTAACAATAAGAGGTCATTTGCTGAAATAACCTCCACACTCTTCAATAAAATAAAAAAAAACATTATATTGTGTTTTTTTAGAACTTTAAATGTAGTGCAAAATAATTGCAGCGTGTTTATGTGAGTGTGCGTGTAAGTGTACTGTATTTCTGTCACATAAGGGTTCAGTCACTAGCTATGTTTCCATGATCCACCTATTTTGATGTGAATTTTGAAATATAGAAATCAAGATGTGCATAAATTCTTATAATGTGCGCAAAAAACTTGAGGCAGATACATTTTTTTATCTGGTAGGAAGACATGCGCATAAACCTATGCAACAAAAAACTCATGTGACTTTGCCTCAACAGCAGATGTGATCGATAACTGGAAT